CTGTGTGTGTCCATTTTGAGGTTTGAGCAGGCATGGGCCATGTTTTCCCGCATGTTTCTGTTGAATCGTTTCTGTCATGTGCTGCACAGCCCATAGCCTACACTGTTCAGCACACACGTGCTGTTGTCTCTCCTGAAGACACCGAGCTTTGTTCAGTGGTCGTTCATGTATCTGGAGGTCAGCTGATTTTTAAGGGTAACACGTGCTTTGTTCTCTTTTCCACATTTGTGTATGACACACACATGCCACAGCACACGCATGAAGACCAGAGGATGCCTTGTGGGTGTCAGTTCTCACCGTCTATCATGTGGGTCCTGGGGATTGAACTCAGGTCATCAGGCTTAGCAGCAAGTGCCTTCACCCACTGAGCCATCTCCCCGGCCCCGGGTAATCCTTTGGGGCTTGTTTTGGCTTGTTTGTTGGGATGAGTCTATTGGGTGAAGTTTGTCATTTCTCTCGGGTTCCCATTGAAGGCTCGGGGTGGTGAAGAATTTTGTCCTGGCTTCTGGAAACAGACCACCCTCACCCAGTCTTGAAACATCTCCACAGCTCTTCAGTCCCTCATACATCCCTGAGAGATGTTTTATTTTGTTTCCTGAGTTACCTGCTACCTCACAGCGTCTGCCCCTGCCTGTGGCATGTAGAGTCCAGCAAAAGTTCATTTGTGTGTATCCTCCTTGCCCCAAGATTCCTGAGGAAGAGAGGGAGCTACAGTCTTCATGGGCTCTTGTCTTCACCTCCTCTTCTAGAAAGTTCCTCCAGTTCAGCCCTGCAGGCAGAAACAGGGACTGTAGCACTCCACTCATTCTCAGGGGCACAGTGATTGTATTTGGTGTCCTGACCACGGAGAAGAGAGAGATAGCAGAGGTTACTGTATCAAGGCCAGGAGCCACAATTCCATCCTTCAGGCATTACACTCCTGCTTGTAATTCTCTGTCTTCTTTCACACCGAGCTTTAAAACCCATTCAAATGACTTTGTGTGTAGCAGTGTACCTGTGGTGGTCAAAGGACAAGAGTTCTCTCCCACCATGTGTGTTCTAGGAAGTGAACTCAGGGTTGGTGGCTAATATCTCTACCTGCTGAGCCATCCTGCTGGCTCTACAGTGAGCTTTTAATGTATTTATTTATCTAAAATCTTTTTAAAAGTAGCCAGATGTGGCGGTGCACAATTTTAATCCCAGCACTCTGTAAGCAGAGGCAGGTGGATCTCTGTTTCATGTGTCTGGGTATTTTGCTTGTATGTATGTCTGTGCGGTATGTGCACACCTGGGACCTGCAGGGGTTAAAAGAAGCCATCAGATTCCCCAGAACTGGAATTACAGATGGCTGTAAGCTATTATGTGGGTAATGAGAATTGAACCCAGGTCCTCTGGAAGAGCAACAAATGCCTATGACACTTGAGTCATCTCTCCAGCCCCCAAACAATTATTTTTAGTTACATGTGTACGTGTATGTCTGTGTGTAGGTTATGTGCTTTTGAGTGCAGTGCCTATAGAAGTCAGAAGAGGGTGTCAGCCGGGCACTGGTGGCATATGCCTTTAATCCCAGCACTCAGAAGGCAAAGGCAGGCGGATCTCTGTCAGTTCAAGGCCAGCCTGGTCTACAGAGCAAGTTCCAGGGCAGGCTCCAAAACAATACAGAGAAAACCTGTCTCAAAAAAAAAAAAAAAAAAAAAAAGAAGAAGAGGGCGTCAGATCCCTTAGAGCTGGAGCTCCAGATGGTTGTGTTACTATGTGGGTGCTGGGAACCAAACTCAGGTCCTCTTCAAGAGCAGCATTTGTTTTTGACCACTAAGCCATTTCTCCAACTTCATTTGTCTTTGACACAGAGTCTCATTATGCAGCCTCAGCTGGCCTGGAACTCATGGAGATCCACCTGCCTCTGCATACTGAGTACTGGGATTGAATGTGTGCACATCGCACCTGGCTATCTCTCCAGCTTTTATTTCCCCTTGCATGCTAGGCATGGAACCCAGGGCCTAAGGCCTACTGGGTAAACATGGTCTCACTGAGTCACACCCCATGCTACACTGAACAGATGTCTAAAGACCTAGCTGTGGACAGGGGAGATAGCTTAGTGGGACAGGCATGAGGACTTGAGTTTGAATCCCCAGTGTCTATATAGAAGCAGACAGTGTGGGTGTATGTGCCTGTAGTGCCAGTGCCGGTAGAGGCAGAGGCAGGAAAATAACTGCTGGCTGCCAGCCTAACTCTAGCTTGTGAGAGAACCCTGTCTCCAGGGAATACAATGGAGACTGAAAGAGCAGGACAGTTGATACCCGTCTGGCCTGTGCATACTCGTGTATATGTGCATATATATATATATGTATGTATATATGTATGTATGTATATATATATATATTATATCATAGTTCTGGCCACATTTTAAATGTTTATTTTTATTAGAGTGTGCGTTTGTATGATGTCCTTGCATATGAGTGCAGGTACCAGCATCAGATCCACCAGGAGTAAGAGTTACAGGCAGCTGTGCGTCACCTGACGTGGGTGCTGAGCATTAAACTCAGGGCCTCTGGAAGAACAGGAAGTGCTCGTCATTGCTGAGCCATCTCTCTGGCCCTCTGGTCACATGTCTGTGTTAACTCAGTCCCCTGCAAACACAGGAGCGTTGCAGAAGGTACCATACACAGGGCACTGGGCAAGGTACTGCTCGTACAGCTGTACGAGATGGCAAAAGTCTTACTTGTCCCAGAGCTGAGAGCTCAGTGGGGCAGGCAGCAAATCAACAGGCAAGCAAGTGCCATGGCGTCACCTTGTCCTCAGCAGCAGGGAAAACAGCCTGACACTGTTGCCAGCGGCCAGAGAGCTCACCCTGCCCTCAGCAGGCAGCTCCCTGCAGGCAAAGCCAGATAGGGTGTGGTAGGAGACGTCCCAGTATGAGCTTGAGCAAAGCAGAGAGAGTGAGTTCATCAAGTATTCAGACAGACAGACAGACAGGAGAAAGACAATTTCAAGACGTGAGCACTGGATTCTCAAGGGAGAAAATCACATGTAGGTGTCTATAATGGCTATCTACAAGATCCTACAGCTTTCTAAGTGACAGTGTCAAAAGGATGTATTTATAGGTTTTAAATAAACTTTGAATCGAGCAATGACGTAATAAAGACACAGATGGGGGGGAGTGGGGTCAGGGGATTAAACCAAGCCTCTCAGAAGAGGTGAGCTTGGAGAAGCCTCCCTGAGAGCATGAATGGCAGGAAGGACACCAGCAAGAGGGACTCAGTGTGGTGGAGAACCACTGGAGAGCTTTAGGCAAAGGCGCGCCACGGTCTCATTGTGTTCTTTCTAGTTTTACACAGAAGGGAACAGTGACAGGTGGTTGCTGCAGTAGTGCACACAGAGACGGACGGGAATGATCTTGGGACTAGACATGTGGGGAGTGGGTCCTGCTCGCAACAGAGCTAAAGGCAGAACCTTCAGAAATGCCTGCGTGGATTATATGCTTTAGTGATTAGCTCCCAGTCACCAATGCATTGGTGTCACATTAAGGAAAGCACTAAAAGCACTTCCCCTTCACGTCTTTAACCAAGAATGAGTCCAGATTTGAATTCCCCACTTATGTGCTCCCTGCATCTCCTGTCCTCTGTGGGAACCTGTGCCTGCCTGTAGAAGGCTGTCCCTGAGTGTGACTGTGTATTCTGTGTCTCTTGTGTATCTGGTGGGTGACTGTGTCTATCCCCCATAAAGGGCTTCTCTGTCTTTATTGAGCAGTGCTGGCTGCATCCCATGGGAAATAGGTGGGGTACTTTGCAGGGATCTTACCCACATTGTACAAGGATCATGTCACTGCCTTCAACTGATCCCAGCCGACCCAGACAACTACAGTAATACAAATAATGGTTTATCAACCAACATCCAAAATGGATATTCATTTTAGAAGGTTGCTTTCAATCTCTGTATTTGCTGCCTTCAGCAAATGACACACATGTATTATTCTAGGACAGGGGCATGGAAGAGTACATGACTTTAGATTACAGCCATGTGTTAGTTTAGGTTGTAAAAAGTGGTCACACAAAGGCCAGGTGGTGGTGGCACACATCTTTAATCCCAGCACTCGGGAGGTAGAGGCAGACAGATCTCTGTGAGTTCAAGGCCAGCCTGGTCTACAGAGCAAGTTTCAGGACAGCCAGAGCTGTTACACAGAGAAAGGATGTCTCAAACAAACAAACAAAAAGTTGGCTACACAGGAAGTCCAATGCAAATAAGATAGGTTGCTACAGTGTTTTCTCTGTTTTCTTTTTGCTTTTGGAAACAGGGTTTCTCTATGTAGCCCCAGCTGTCTTGGAACTCCCTCTGTAGACCAGGGTTGCCTGGAACCACAGAGCTCCGCCTGCCTCTGCATCCTGAGTGCTGGGATTAAAGGCGTGGGCTACTATTACCTGGCTTGCTGCATTGTTCTCTTAGAGGCAGATTAAGCACAGAGGCTGAGTACACAGTAGGGTAGCCCGTATTCTTGAGTTTTGAGACAGGGTCTCACTATGTGGCTCTGGCTGGACTTGCATCCTCATCCTCTTGCCCCATCTCTCAAATGTTGGGATAGCAGGTGTGTGTGCCTGGTGGGGAATCCTGGAAGAACTTCCGTCCCTTTCCGCCTGCCTGGCCAAGAGTGTAGGGCTGGCATCTGAAGTCTCTGTGAAACTGGACTTTTACTTTTGGACGCTTCCTCCACTGCCCTCACCAGCTCTCAATTTCTCTGAGAGTGCACGGCTCTTCTGATACTTACAGGTGGGCCTCCTGCTGAGACTGGGCTTTAGTACCGTTGTTGGTGACTGCTGGGCAGAATACAGGGACGTGTGTGGTGGGATTGGGGTTTCCTGTTGCCTCGTGTACAGAGATACTAGGTTCCAAAAATAGGTATACACACAAAACCCCACTTTTTTGACCTGGGCTAGGGTGCTCTGAGCACCTTGGGACCTGGAGTGGGCCTCTCCCCCATCCCAGCTATGGGAACCTCACATGCTTGCCCTGTCCTGTCCCTCTAGGGTGTCACTCGCAGAGCCAAGGTGGCTCCTGCCAAGAGGATGAGCAGGTTCCTGAAGCACTTCACAGTGGTTGGGGACGACTACCACACGTGGAATGTCAATTACAAGAAGTGGGAGAACGAGGAGGAGGAAGACGAGCCAGCCCCCACGCCAGCGGAAGGGGAAGGCAGTGCTGTGGGCACAGATGCCGAGGCTGGCCCTGTCCCCGCACCCAGGCCGGCCCTGGACTTCAGGAACAGGCTGAGGAAACTCTTCAGTTCCCACAGGTTTCAGGTAGGAGGGTAAAGTCACCAGGTTTCCAAGGTGGGAGCTCCCTCTGCCACCCGTGCATCCCACAGGTGCTTCCTGAGCGCCCACCATGTCTGTCATGCTCCATGGTATGGCCTGTCGTAGCCTGTCCCTCCAGAGGTAACGACTTGGGCATGACAAAGGAGGGAATGTGGACACCACATGCCGCAACTCTGAAAATAAGGCTTGAGTGACAGTCCAGACGGGAAGATCCCAGTTGTGTGTGACGCAGGTTGCTGAGCCATATAGAATGTGCACAGCCGGGCAGACAGATGGGAGGCCTCGGGAGGGAGGAAAGAGTGGAGGGGGTGGCTGCTGAGGGTGACGGGATTTCCTTTTGGGGTGGTGGAAACACATGGGAACTAGGTGGTGGCGGCAGCTGCACAGCCTTGCGACTGTACCCACTGCCACAGAAGCTTTGCAGCAACCCGTGAGTGGTTACCTTATACTAGTTACTTTCTCACTGTGAGACACCTGCCTGTGTATACTCCAAGTACACTATGAGGGAAGCATTCATCCCACAGTGCCTGCTTCTGGACAAGGTCATGTGGGTTCCCTGCCTCAAAACCTCATCACCACAGACCCTCAGACCCTCCTTTATGGAGAGGCAACAAAACACGTGGCCCTGGGAAGATGGCTAAGTGTTGTGTAAGCATGAAGACCTGAGTTTGCTTCCCCAGCATCCAGGAAAAGAGTTGGGTGTGGCAGTACATGCCAGGAATCCCAGCATGGAGGCAGAGAAGACAGGTGGCTCCTTGGGGCTCACTGGCCAGTTGGTGAGCCTCAGGTTCTGTGAATTAGGTGGAAAATAGCTAAAGACACTAACATAACTTCCACATGTGTGTACATGGGAGTGGGTGCGCACACACACACACACACACACCCCACACATGTGCCTGGCTCTCACTGTCACCACCTCTCTCCCGATGCTGCCCTGGGGAGACTAAGGGACTTCCTTGCTGAGCTCTGTGGGTATCATCTATCCCAACTTTGTAAAAGGCAATTTTTCAAAAATATTATTTTATTTACATGTGTGAGCTTTCACAAGTTTATTGCACCATTTGTACTCAGGAGCCCTCAGAGGCTACAGGGTGTCCGATCTCTTGAGCTAGAATTACAGGGGCTTGTGAGCTACCTGATTTGGGTCCTAGAAACTAAACCCAGGTCCTCTGCAAAAGCAGCAAGCAGTCTGAACTGCTGAGCCATCTCTCCAGCCCTGCAAAAAGCAAGCTGGTGTCTAGAAGCATGACTGCTCCAGGAAAATGCAGGAGACCAAGGCATGGCAACAGTCACAGCTCCTGGTGGGTCCAGTACCACAGGGAGGAACTTTGGGGATGCCACTCTGGGCATCAGAGCCCAAGTCCCTTCTGGAAGCAAGGAGAAACAGCCTCACTCTCATGACTGACACTGTTCTGGGGGTATATTGGTCTCTTTTCCCACTTAAAGCAAGCTAGCACCCAGAAGCCCTTGCGTTCTGCCAGCCCCTCTGGCTGTGGCAGGAAACATGGTATTATGTTGTTGTGGTTGAAATCCAAACCTGCAATTTCAGAGCAAACAGAGGGAGCCAGCTTCCTTCCAGCTGTAAAGAAGCCACAGACCCACCCCCTCTGGATGTCCCTGCCTCTGGAAGGGACTCATCCTGCCACTCTGCCTGCTGGTCCTGGATCTGACTCTTAGGCTGGAAAAAAAGATAACTATCATAAAGACATTTGTCCTTTGAGGGGACAGTGGTCTCCATACTTCGGGTGGCAGTGAGCTGGATGTGACGGGTCTGTGGAGTGGCAGGAATGACAAATGCTGCTTAGATGTCCCCTGCAGGGGCAAGGATGAGGTCTAAGGCTCTGGACAGGCCAGGAGTCAAGAGGTCAGAGGTGACTGTCACCGACACTCAAGCTCATAGCCCCAGGGGTAGAAGGGCATGTTTCAGGCAGGGAACTGAGTTGGTCAAGGGGTCTGTATGAAAGGAGACCAGGACCTACTGCGTTGGGGAGTGGGGGAAGGGTGCAAGGTTCCCGTGAATAAAGCAGCAATTTACGGAATGAGGCAGGGGCTGCTGGGGACAGGTCCTGTGGGAGTGACATGACCAGATAGGTTGAGGGTCTTGGATGGAAGTCAGATGAAATGGGAGGAGGGGTACTGGGGCTCAGGAGTCTTGTTCTCTGCTGGTAGGATCTTCGAGACATAGTGACAGAGCATGCTGTCACTTGTCACACGATGAGTGAGCTTCCCAGGAAAGCGAGAGATGGGTCTTTGACCTTGATCAAGGGCTGTCAGGGCTGAGCACACTGTTCATGGTGTCTTACATGTCCACCGTCACTTGGAGCAAAGTGTGGCCAGCTGAGTCCCCAGTGCAGACTGACAGAATCCTGCGGGGGGGGCACCCCACAGGGGAGGCTGTGGGTTAACAAAGGGGTGTGACTCCCTTCCACAAAAAGCAGCCAGGTAGGAGGGCAGATCTGAGGTTTGGAGATCACTTCATGGAGGCCAAGTGATATGACCCATCGTTGTCTTTTCTTGGTCTCTCTCACTTCTAATTTCAGGTGACAGTCACATGATGTAAAATTTTAATCTTTTGTTTTTTGAGACAGGATTTCTTTGTGTAACAGTCCTAGCTGTCCTGGAACTTGCTTGGTAGACCAGGCTGGCCTCAAACTCACTGAGACCCACCTGTCTTTGCCTCCCTAGTGCTGGGATTGAAGGTGAGCACCACCACTGCCTGGCTAAGGCTAATCATTTTAAAGTGACTATTTCTGCGGTGTGTAGTACACAGAGCACTGTACAGCTCACCACTCAGCAGTTCAGAATATCCTTGCCACTGTCCATCCTGTGCCACTGGACCCCCTCAGTCTGCATTTTACCTGTGTTCTGGGTATCACGTGTGGCCGGAGGGTCCAGCTGCCTGCACTCAGCACGTTCACAGTCATCCACACAGTAGCACAGATCCAGATCCATGCCTTTTGGTGCCTGTGTGGTGAACCTGTTCTCAATACAGTAGTTTTAGATCATGGGACTTTGCTAATCCCTCTGGTTCTAAAATACACAAGAATTAATAAAACAAAATCCAGGCTGGGAATATGGGTCTGTCAGGAAAGGGCTTGCTGTCCAAGAAAGAGGACCTCAGTTCTGGGCCCAGAACCCAGGCTTTAACAGAAGACAAGAGCCTGGTGTGGTAGCACCAAAGAGAGACAGGATGACTCCTGGGGCTCATTGGTTGCTTAGTCCAGTGAGCCTATACCAGTTGGGCCGTGGTGGTGCATGCTTTTAATCCCAGCACTTGGGGGCAGAGGTAGCCTGGTCTATAGAGCTAGTTCCAGGACAGCCAGGGCAACACAGAGAAACCCTGTCTTGAAAACAAACAAACCAAAAGAATGGGACCCCTGAGTGCCCTGTGGAGCTTGGGAACTCCTCTCCCTTAGGGGCCCACAGTCTCTCATTCTCTGCCCCTTAGTCACCCAGTCTTTTTCTCCAGGACCATCTCTCAAAGCAAATGCCACTCCTAAAAGGCAGTAGGGTTTTGTCTTTTAGTTTCATTCTTCTATTTCTTTTTTTTGGGGGGGGTGGGGGAGGTTTCCGAGACAGGGTTTCACTGTGGTTTTGGAGGCTGTCCTGGAACTTGTAGATCAGGCTGGTCTCAAACTCACAGAGATACACCTGCCTCTGCCTCCCAAGTGCTGGGATAAAAGTGTGTGCCACCACCACCCAACTCAATCTTCTATTTCTATGGTTTGCTGTTGCTGAAGTACACAGAGCAGATGCTCAGTAAGTTATTCATCCCAGCCTTGGGACTCTGAGTTCCAGAGGGGTTCCCCAAGGCCTGCCTGTCCTCCGGGAGTGGGATGGCGGTGTTCTCACCCAGTGGGTGGAGCAAGCTGCTCCCAGAGTGTGATGTGCCCACCATGCATGGTCAGGGGCAAGAAGGTAAAAGGCAGGGCTTCCTGGAGAGTGGGAGGATAGGGGATGACAGGGGTCCATTCTTTTGTTTCTCGAGACAGGGTTTCTCTGTGAAACAGTCCTGGCTGTCCTGGAACTTACTCTGTAGACCAGGCTGGCCTCAAACTCCAAGAGATCTGCCTTCCTCTGCCTCCAGAATGATGGTATTATTATTAGTTTTTTTGAGACAGGGTTTCTGGGTAGCTTTGGAGGCTGTCCTGGAACTCGATTGATAGACCAGTCTGACTTCAAACTCAAAGAGACCCACCTGCCTCTGCCTCCCGAGTGCTGGGATTAAAGGCGTGAGCCATCACTGCCTGGCTTGGGATCCCATTCTTAACACCTTCACCTAACCACTTCCCAGTGGCTCCTGAGAAGGAAAGTGGTCCCATCTGGTCTCACATCCTCTTGCTCCTCCCCGCCAGGTTATCATCATCTGCCTGGTGATCTTGGATGCCCTCCTGGTGCTTGCTGAGCTCCTTCTGGATCTCAAGATCATTGAGCCAGATAAGAAAGACTATACGGTCAAGGTATGCACATGGCACAAGCACGCGTGCGAGTGTATGTAGGTGGTATAGATAGGTGCATGTGTGGTGCAGGTACACACCAGCCCCCGAGCCATGCGTGCACACAGCTCAGGTCCATATGCAGCCAGGCATATACACTGGGTGCTGCTGACAGGGTCGTTGTCTGCGGGCAGGGACAGCATCGACTGAGTCACTTGATGCTCAGTGTGGGTGAGCCCATCCTCCTCTCTCACTTGCGTTGGGTGGATACCTTATTGTGATGCTACAATCACTCTTACCCTTTTGTCCCCAGTGTGGTTGCTGTGAGCCTCAGTTAGAGGGCTACATGTCCTTTTGACATGACCACAGGAGTTGGAATATCCCCTTGCTTCCTGACTTCCTTAGTAAGAAACTGGGAACTCTCCAGGTACCACTAATCTTTATTGCTCCTCAGGGAGTGTGCGACTCTGCCCCAGTCCTCAGCCGTGTAGTAACAGTTACGGGAGGTGCCGCCATTCATTCATTCATAGACAAGGTTTCTCTGTGCAACAGTCCTGGCTGTCCTGGAACTGGAGATCCACCTGCCTCTGCCTCCCGAGTGCTGGGATTAAAGGCGTGCACCTTTTATTGGACACCGACATTGTCCCCTCCATACAGAGTTGTGTTCTGCCCACAGTACTGCAGTGACAACCAATATGGCTTTGGGCAAGTGTCTGTCCAGCCATAGGCTGTGTTCCTATCAGTAGGGTAGTTGGCCAGAGGACAGTGTGGAGGGCTTGTTTTGTTCACTCCAGCACTGGAAAGCAAACCCCTGGCCTATGTGTGCTATGAAAGCACCCATGACAGAGCAGCAGCCATCTTTGCTTTTTAGTTGAGACAGTCTCTCTCTGTGGCCCAGGCAGGCCTTCGACTCTTGATCTTCCTGCCTCAGTTTCCCAAGTACTGGGTTGACAGTCAGGCCTGGCCAGGGATGTTTAATTCTGGAAGCCTTGCCTGTGTTGGTGACGACTGTCTTCAGCACTGAGTCCTCTCTGGTAACCAGGCAGGTGTGCTTGGGGCTGGGGTGCGTCCAGAGACTGCCAGTGACGGTCAGTGTCCCTTGCCCACCCTGTCCCCTCAGGCGTTCCACTACATGAGCTTTGCCATCCTCGTCTTCTTCATGATAGAGATTCTCTTTAAAATCTTCGTCTTCCGCCTGGAGTTCTTCCACCATAAGTTTGAGATCCTGGACACCATCGTGGTGGTGGTGTCATTTGTCCTCGACCTCATCCTCCTGTTTAAAAAGCACCAGTTTGAAGCTCTTGGCCTGCTGATCCTGCTGCGGCTCTGGCGGGTGGCCCGGATCATCAATGGTGCGTCTCCTGTGCTCTGGAACTGCATAGGGGAGGGGGCATGGTTACTGTGGCCGGTACCAAGGTGGCAATACGGTCACCAGAGGCCTGGGGTCTTATACCTGGTTTGTGCCATGGCTGCTGCCTCCTTGGAATCTGAAGAAAGGTAGATAGATGGTAATATCTGGTGATGAGCTAACAGGTAATATCTGGTGATGAGCTAACAGGTAATATCTGGTGATGAGCTAACAGGTAATATCTGGTGATGAGCTACCACCTCTGGTTGCAGACTGTGATGCTCCAAAGTCATCTAACACTGGCCACCAGAGGGTAGTTATGGAAGCATGGGACTCTTGCCTTGAACAGCACAGGAGGGCATCCTCCAGAAGGGAAGAGGCAGGTGGCTTAGCAAGCTCTGTGCTGACTGCCCAACCCAGGGACCCCTCATGGAGCTCCCCCAGTTTCCCAGAGTGATCACTCTGTTGCTGACACTTGCTACCATCCCCTGGCTTCTGGCTCTGGACACCTGGGGAAATCCTGGTCTGCCCAACTCCAGGCACACACACTGCTCTGACGCACGCCCGTCTGAAGAGCAGGGCTTCTGTGGGGCCACGGCTGGCTGGTGGCTGGAGCACTTTGGTCATCCCAGGAACCACAGTCGTCGATATCCAAGCTCTGTGGCCCTCAGCAGTTAGTTCTACTCAGGCTGGTAGATTACAAGTGGTCACAGCTCAGCCAGCTTAGCACTGTGTCATGTGGAGTCAAAGGTGACAGACTGGTGACACATAGGGTTTAAATGAATTAATTAAAAGGACAGAGGCAAAAGGTTTATTAAATACACCACAGTGCAGCCAGTGAATGGGCTCCCTCAGGGGGTGCTTTGGCTGAGAGGGGCTGAAAGCCTCACACTGCAGCTGCAGCAGGCAACCTCGTGGTACTCATGGGCCTTATTGGGGTTTGTATCTGAGGGGCAGCACTGGTGTTTCTTGGGATTGGCCATGGGGTTGGGAGCCGTGGGCCATGGAGTTGTATAAGGCATCCCAAGTTTTGTTTTTTTTTGTTTGTTTGTTTTTTTTTTTTGTTTTTTCGAGACAGGGTTTCTCTGTGGCTTTAGAGGCTGTCCTGGAACTCGCTCTGTAGACCAGGCTGGCCTCGAACTCACAGAGATCCGCCTGCCTCTGCCTCCCGAGTGCTGGGATTAAAGGCGTGCGCCACCAACGCCCGGCTCAAGGCATCCCAAGTTAGCAGGTCATGTGCCAACCTGTCAGGGCCATGCTCCAGCACAGGGTCCCTGCTTTAACTTGGCCTTTTCATTTCCACTCTGGACTCTGACCAAGGAAAACAAGCAGTTTTCACTGCTGGGGACACTTGTCCTTGGGGAATGGGAACACAGGGGCTAAAGGAACTGTGCCCATGGGGGCCACAGGGAAATACTGCCTAACTGCACACTCTCTCCTCCCCTCCCTTCCAGGTATCATCATCTCAGTGAAGACACGCTCGGAACGGCAGATCTTAAGGTTAAAGCAGATAAACATTCAACTGGCCACCAAGATCCAGCATCTGGAATTCAGTTGCTCTGAGAAGGTGAGACTTGGGGGACTGGTTCCACTGCTGTCCCCTCCAGCCCACTACTGCCCAGTCTCCTGGAGACAACAGCCCTGCCTGTTGCTCCCTCTTCTGGTCTTTCTGGCTTAAGCTCCAGCTCCTGGAGGCAGGCCCAGTCCCTCCTCTGGGCATCTTTTTGTTTTGTTTTGTTTTTGTTTTTTTGAGACAGGGTTTCTCTGTAGCTTTGGAGGCTGTCCTGGAACTCGCTCTGTAGACCAGGCTGGCCTTGAACTCACAGAGATCTGCCTGCCTCTGCCTCCCGAGTGCTGGGATTAAAGTCGTGCGCCACCAAAGCCCGGCTCCTCTGGGCATCTTGTTCCTGTAATCACTGCCCAGGGCCCTCCCCTCAGCAGCCAGATGCCACAGACTGGCTCTTAGCTGCGTGTAGCCCCAGGCCTGCTGGAATGTGGTTCAGAAGCTCAGCGCCCAATGCCTGTCTGCTTTTACAATAGGAACAAGAAATTGAGAGACTCAACAAGCTGTTGAGACAGAATGGACTTCTTGGGGATGGGAACTAGCCTCCCAGAAGCACCACCTAGAGAAGCCCTCATCTCTGCCTCGGCTTGCGCTCCCTGGATGCTGGGAACATATCCTCGTCAGCTCTGCTGCCTCTTCGGTGTGACCCAGTGCCACCCGTCCACACCCTCCTCCTGCAGCAAAGGAACCATAGCCACCTTTTCTCACCTGGCCTCTGCTGTCGCTCGAAAACAGACAAGGAAGCTGGACTTGTAAAACTTGATGCCACCCTTCCCTCTGTGTAGGAATTGGCCCATCCTTTCCTAAGCACATCCTGAGAAGAACAGAAGCTGGCACCCTGTACCAGCCCATTCCAGAAACCCTTTCTTTATTAGCTGGTCCACAGATTCTCCTGCTGCATCCCCTAGGGGAGCTATCCTGGTTCCCAGCCTCCTCTGCAGCCTCCAGCTGTACCATCAGCTTCAAACTGGCTCTGCACCCACCAGCGTCTCTTTCAATTACTGTACAATTAATGGATAAAATAAGCGCCCTCCTTCCCCTGGGCCCGCCTACCACATTTTCCCCTTGGTAGCAGCCCACACTGGCTCACTGCGGGGCTCCCAGACTGCCCTGTATTTAGCACCATCTTGGGGTGCAATGCCCTCATGGGCACACGTTTTTACAGCCCCTTGCTGGTTTGTACTTCTCAAATGCTGATGGGCATTTTGAAGACGACTCCCGATGGATGAGGGATAAGGCACTGAGGTGGCTTTCCATGCATTGCTACATTTTAGGTTCCTCCTCCCACCTCTCCAGAGGTGACAAGGCCTGTGACCTGTGTGCAGGGTGCTGGAACCACATGACGTGAGCCCCTAGCATAGCGGAGTAACGTTTCTGAGAGGAACGGCAGTGGAGAGGGCAGAGTGGTGGTTTAAGGGTAACCAGCAACTGGGTTGGTGTCCTCCAGAGCCTTGCGCCTGGGTGCCCACTGCTGCAGAGGGACCTTCAGGACGGGTACTCACTCCTGCGGGGGCCACTTGCATCACGCAAATGGGAAGAAGAAGCTGAAGGGCAGCCTGGCGTTGATGGTGGGTGGAGCTCGGAAGCCTGCCTCTGCAGGGGCTGACACATCCACAAATGTCACTGTAGTGGAAACGACAATTGTCCTCTCGGGCCCTGGGAGGGGCTGTAATGGAAAGACAAACAGGCACGCTTGTCATCTTCCTCACTCAGTCACTGTCCCCTTGAGGCTGGGGTCACCGAGGCACAGTGCAGCCCAGATGCATGACGATCCAGGCTGATTCAGCATAGCAACATGGTTCAGTGTTCACAAAAATTACCTGTCAGTGAGTCCTTCCCTTGACGTACAAGTTAACGAATGATTATGAAATTGTTCTTAAGACTCAAAATTACAGTTAGGCACAATGGCACTTGCCCATTAACACTCTGGAGGCTGACGCCGAGAGTCACAAGTTTGAGACCAGTCTGGGTTACATGAGAAGATCCTAGGTCAAAATACCAGATCCTACCAGGCACAGCAGCACTAGCTGCCTGTCCCTGAACCTGGGCTTGTGACATCAGAGTCAACAGCTCAAGTCCAGCCTTGAGACCCTATCTTAAAAAACACTGAAATCCAAATGGAAACGATAATCTTTCACACCAATAAACTTTTCCTGTCACACTTGCTGTCACCTCACTTGCCCCTTTTATTTATGTGGTTTATTTCTTTTGGTGCCACACCCCAGCCCATGGAGACCTCTGCCAGCAGGCATACCTCTGGAATGGAGATGAGCTGGGCAGTGACGTTCACTATCCTGGCTTGGGGGTTCAGCAGAGATCCATACTTAGTCCATTTCACTTCTATACCTAAAGCCACAGGGAGTTGGCAAGGGCCCTGCAAGAGAAAACTAGATTAAACCAGAATATTACACCACCGCAAGTCAAACTAAACCGGCAGTTGAGCCTTTAATTATAAAATGTTTGCCAATTACAAAAATGTTTGGAACACCCCGGGCACGTGTTTAATCCCAGCACTTGGGAGATAGAGGCAGGTGGATCTCTGTGAGTTGTAGGCCAGCCTGGTCTACAGAGCGAGTTCCAGGACAGCCTCCAAAACAATACAGAGAAACCCTCTCTTGAAAAACCAAAAAAAAAAAAAAAAAAAAAAAAAAGTTTGGAACACAAGGGTGAACACACTATATACGAGTTCAGGTACAAATAAGTTTACAGACCCTGAGTCATTACAGCACCCTCTGCTCCTACTACAGTACCACCCAGTGAGAAATGCGCCAGCCCCTCTCTTTCCCAAACAAGGCCTAGTCACTGTGGAGTACTGCATTCCTGCTACCCAGTGGTGGGACCTTTGGGGCCAACAGGGAAGAGACTATGACAGAATTTAACAGAGAAAAGGTGACCTTGATTGTAGGTTGTGTTAGAATGTAAACAGAAACATGCTTTTATTTAATTTCATCAGCTAGCAATGAAGATATAACTTGGAGCTAGAAAGATGGCTCTGCAGTTAAGAACACTGGCTGCTCTGGGGTCAGCCTCAAGCACCCACACAACCATCTGTATCTCCAGTTCTAGGGGACACGCCACCCTCCTCTAACCTCTGCAGGCCCTAGGCACCCATTTGGTGTACATACATACATTCATATACTCATACACAGAATTTCTTTTCAATTTTTAAAAAAGACAGATGGGCATGATGGTGCATGTCTTTACCACCAGCACTCAGGGGCAGAGGCAGGCAGACACCTGTGAATTTGAGGCCAGCCTGGTCTACAGAGTTGAATTCTAGGACAGCCAGGAAATGCACACAGAGAAACCCTATCTTGAACCCTTTACCCTATCCACGAAAACAAGACAAAACAGCTTGGGGTAGAGTCAATATCTGTATGTAACCAAAGATAATAGTGCAGGTTAGGTATAGTGGTGCATGCCTTCATTCCAGCACTTGGGAGGCAGAGGCAGGCAGATGCTTTGAGCTCAAGGCCAGCCTGGCCTACATAGCAAGTTCTAGGACAACCAGGGCTGTTTAGAGAGACCCGGTCTCAAACAAAGGTAACAGTGCTTCATCTGCACTGAGGGGGCCAGCATGGGGTTACCCAAACTAAGGCTGGATCCTGACTCTGTCCCAGGACCTTTGCTTGGACAAGTTAAATGGGCATTGGGTCCTCCAGGTCATCTTTTTGCCGATAACTGGAAATGCAGAATCTATATAGTGGGTAGATAGGGAATCCCCCAAGTTATGGTACTTCCCTGTATGTTTGACTCGCCGCATATATTTTCTCTAAATTATATCCTGGCATAAAAACCTAGCAGACCACTAAGCTAAACTGCCAAAAGCAGTAACGGATTCCTTAGCTTGCAAGAGCCTTTAGAAACCTTATCACTGAACCAGCTTGCCAGTATCCCGTTGCTAGGAGAAACTGCAGGTGCAGTGGGTGTGAACAGCAGATGCCCTGGGCCTGCTTCCCCTGGCACTGATGACTGGTGTCTTTACCCTGTGCCAGAAAGCTAAAAGCCATACCCCAGGTTCATTGGTGGCGGGCACAGGGATTAAGCAATCTTTGGAGTGGGGATCTGGTGACTGTGCCACTCCTTATAAATATACAAAGCAGACAATAAGAGGCCTGAAGCAGCTGTGACAAGAAATAGCTGGGCAATTAGGGGAGAATGGGGTGCACACCTCCGCTGGGGACAGCCCACACTTTGCTGCTAAGACAAAAGAAGGAGGTGGGTGGGGGAGTCACATGTGACCAGGAAGCTATTTGTAGGATGTCAGCTTCCATTAAACTCTTTGGGGAACTTTGGAACTGAAAGAGCTCATGTGTGGGTGGCTGCCATTACAGCCCAGAGGGCAGGGAATGGAAGTAATAAAGACGAAGGCCACATCTCATGTCCCTCATGTCACCAAATGTCTGAGGAAGGCTTTACTGCACCATTACTGTCCAGGCTGAGCATCCTGGGTTTTGGATATTGGCATAGCCATGATGACTATCAAGAGGCTAGACAGTCAGAGTCAATCACTCAGTCAATCTAGAGTTAATGGTATTTCAGTGGGCCCAAGTTTTGACCGTGACATGTTGGCACTAAGATAGTTTCTGATTTGGATGCACATTTTTGGATTAGGGGATTTCTCAACCACAGTGACTATGGTGGTGAGTTGAGCTTCCAGTTTATGGAGTGGCCACTGTGTTCTGCCAACAGCCAAACAAACTTAACCCTCTGAGCAGCCCAGTGAGGTCAGTGATGTCATTTCTGAAGGGCTCTAGGGCCTGAGCATGGCAAACATGGCTCTGGCTAGCCTTGTCCTCGCCCCCTCCCCCACCCTTCCCTCTGCCTTGCTAAACTGTTAGATTACATTCCTAAAGCTGCCACCAAGGTCTGTTCCCTTATTTGGCCACTTCCTCCTCCTGAGACTGACTACCAAGGTCCAGCTATCCAAGAACGGAAGACCAGCAAGCAGAAGTCCCTTCTGACTGCCCTAATTAACATGCCCAGTTAAAACAAAACAGCTCATCCTAACACGGGTTCCCTTCTTCCCTTTATAAACTGCCATGGGCCATGTCGAGCTCCTCTCTATAAAGAAGAGACAGACATGTCTCCTCTGTCTCTCCAGAGAAGATGTCCCTCCCCCATCCCTTGTTCTTTTCCCCTCTCCCCCTCTCTCCTGCCTTTGTCTCTTATTTCCTGCCCTCTGTCTCTCTGGGGAAATAAATCTGGTCTTGGGATGTCTTGTGCCGACTCTGGTCCTTTCAGCTTCCATGTCACAGGGAAGCAAACTGAGGCTTTGTGAAGAGGGGGCAGAGCTGGAAAGCCTAGCTTAGCTACAGCCTCCTCACTCCCTCCCCAACCCACCGGGCAGAGGAAGACATGCTAGCAGGTGCCCGCAGCCTCACTCTTTACCTTCATGTTGGAGGAATGGGTGACATAGCGCACAGGCACCCAGTCCTGCACATCCTGGGCCTGGGAATTCCCAAATGCTGCCACATAGTCAGGAAAGGCCTGGCCTCTCAGCAGGCCCTGAATCTTCTGTGCCAGGAGCCCACAGGGGATGGTGCCTGTCAGTCTTTGGGAGGGAAAGAGAGGCCAACTCAGGAAGGCACCAGAAATCAAGGAAATGCCAGATTGGGGACACTTCCATCCTTCCTCTCCAATGCGATCATCGAATCCCTAAAGTGGTCCTGCCTTAGAAGCATCCTGGTCATGGAGATGACCCCAGCCTGTTTTCTACCATCTCTGTCTACATACGATGGGCCATGGTCAGAAGCCAGGCAACATAGTGGCTTTCCCATATCCTGTCCTCCTAAAGGGTGCTGGCACAAATGGGTTCCACAGGAGGAAAGCAGGGTTTACTGTGGGCTGCTGCCTCCTGGACTCCTGTAGGAAAGTGGAACCCTCTGGAAGAAATGCTGGTCTGAAATCAGACCTAGCAAACTAATGACAGAGTCACTACAAGGATGTGGGAAGGATGTGGGTGGAGAGGGAAATGAAAGGGACAAAGACACATATTTGTACAGAGTGGGAATTCAACAACAAATGCGCAGAGCCAAAGATTCAGAAATGCCACTGCAGCACTCAGGAGGCTGCGGCAGGAGGATCAGGAGTTTGAGTCTATCCTGAGCTACGCAGGGAGACCTCATCTCCCACATCTCATTCCAGTTTTCGCTAAGTGGTTCTCTTGTGCTGCAAAATTAAAAACCCAGAAATAGGAAGGACTTTCAAGGGAAATATTTTCACTATTTAGCCTTAACCACACAAAGCCCTGCGATCAGTCAGCTCGGTGCCAATGGAAAGGCTACGCAGTCTTGCTGGCGACCTGGTTAAAACTGGAGAAAGGAGGCTGCTTCCTTTGCCACAGCCACTCTCACCTGAGTTGACAGCCAGATTGTACATTGTAGCCAAACAACACTGGGTCCCGGAGTCCCTCGCTGGCAAGGCAGTCCTGCTCGCCTGTGCTACGAAGAATAGTAAGTTGGCCTTGTCTGTTCGTTGTCTGAATAATCCCAGACATTCACAGGCTGTTAAGGGACTTGTAACAGTTCAAGAGCAGTCAGAGTGTCCAGGAAGAAAAGGGCATCCCCATATGGCACAAGGCATGAGTGAGGTGCAATCCCTTCTCTGGACGTCTTGGTCATTCCCAGGAAGTCTTCCCTTTGTCTGGCTCTCCTTCAGATTTAGTTCCAGCCAGTGTGGTGGCCAGGCCTGTAATCAAGGCACCACAAAGGCTAAGGAGGGTTGCCTAAACTAGAAGAGTGAGTTCAAGACCAGTCAGGACAACTTGCCAAAATCTTGTTTCAAAATGTAGAGTAAGGAAAGGGCTGGGTACAGCCCAGTGCAGGGCGCTGTACTAGTGTGCTCAAGTCCCAAGGAGGGTCTGTGAGTTTGAGGTCCGCCTAGTCTACACAGTGAGCTTCAGGATACAGAGCAACCCTGACTCAACAAAACAGAAACAAAAGTGAACCAATGCCTCCAGGAATCCTCGTTTTTTTGTTGTTTATTTTTGTGTTGTTTTGCTTTTTTCAAGACAGTGTTTCTCCGACTGTCCTGGAACTCACTTTGTAGATCAGGCTGGCCTTGAACTCACAGAGACCCACCTGCCTCTGCCTCCTCAGTGCTGGGATTAAAGGTGTGCACCATCACCATCCAGCTTACACTGTCCTCTTCCCCTAAAGTACCAATCTCTACTTCCACCCAGCCCCATCACATTTCACTGGCTAGGAGCTCTGGCCCGTCCAGTGCCCCTCACCCCCCCCACACACACAGGCTGCCCGCCCACAGCACCCTGGGCAACAACTGGAAGCACAGTCCATTCATGCAAACAGGGAAGGTGACCTTCTCCACAGATCCAAAAAAAGGATACCCCTTCTGAGGCCGAAAGCCAGCGGCCAGAGGGAGTCCCACCCTGTAACCAGGGTTGCCACTATGAGGGACAGGCTTGGTGCCGTGCTGAAAGACAAAGGGACGTCCTGTGCAGCAGCGGGGCCACACAGTGCTCCTCATGATAACATCTGGGAGGACAGCTCCCAGCTTCCAGGCAAACCCCACACACCACTGCAGGCAGGGAGCTGGGTCATGCTTCTAGGCTGTTCCTCCCCAGAAGTCAGGCTTTCCCTCGACTTGGCAGCCAAGTAATGAACAGAACACTCAAACTTACCTGAACAAAGTGAATCTCAAACTTCTGCTGCAGGAGAGTCACTGTGTTGCTGAACGTCCCCAGTACCAGGGAGAGGCTGGCTTCTTGTATCTGGCCGGTGGCCGTGTACAGCAGGCTGTACTTCACCTGGGACAGAATGGGACTCATCCACCTCTGCCCACCACAGCTCAGCAGCCATGTTCCCACCTCTGATGAAGCAGCCACAGAAAAGCCACAACCCCCAACTCTGTGTCCAATCTCATCAGTGATGTCCCCTCAGCATCTCAGTGGACAGAGCCACCTGAGTCTCTCTATGCCCAATTTTTTGATCTTTTAGATCAGCTGACTCAAGCACAATTCAAACAGCCTATTTATGCAGACGAAGAGTCCAATCAAATAAATGATGGTGACAATAAATTGTGTGTGTGGTACACATGTGAGTGTGTGTGCGTGCACACATGTGTATCCAAGCACACACATGTAGAGGCTAGAGCATGACACTAGGGTCTTCCTCTGGAACTCTCTGCCTTATTGCCTTGAGGCAAGCTCTCACTGAACCACAGGCTCTCATTTCAGCCAGGTTGGCTGGCCAGTGTCCTCTTGGGATCTGCCTGTGTGTCCCCCAGTACTTTGGGTTACAGCCAGGTGTCGTAGCCATGCTCGGCTTTTCACATGGTGCTAGGGATTCAAACTCAGGTCCTCGTGCTTGTGGGACAAACACTCCTACTCAACTGAGCCATGTCCCCAGCACAACAAGAAAATTTGGTTGTATTCTTGGAAGGTGTTGTATCTACGGAGACATGTAAAGACGTGTCCTCTGATGGCAGAAGCAACTGGAGGTCAGACCAAGAAAAGCACCATCGCAGTATGGGTGGGAGTTCTCCCTGGAGGTGCGCAGCTCCCCAGTAAGCCAACCGGTGGGAGTCAGGCAGTCAGAGAAGGACTGCCAAGGCAACTGGGCACCCACCTCGAGAACAACGTTGCTGCAGAGTCTATCTTGCCCAATGCTGACCAGAGATGGCCGCAATATGCCATGGCCTTCTAACCGGGTCAGCGTGTGATTGAGAGACCGATACATGACAGACTGAACTTTGATGGAGACCTGGGAGGGAAGGTAACCTTGGTTATTAGGCTACTACAGGCTACATATAGTAAGCACAGTTACAGCAACCAAAGTCTAAAATGAGCCTTTCGTAGCAATAAAGCAAAGTACAGGGTGTGCATTCCATGCACTGTGCATGCTGCAAATGTCCCATGTAAGCACACACACACAGTCAGAGAAAAGCTGGGAAGCAGAGCTCTGAGACACCTATTCACCACAGAGATGGAAATAGCTCGAGTCCATCTGCATAAGGAACACTACTCACTCATAAAAATCAAATCCCAAAACATGCTACAGCATGAGTGAGTCTTGAAAACATCAAGTGAAAGAACCCAAAGGTCACATATACTGCAGATTCCACTAAACATGGAATGTCCACACATAGATACAGTCATCATAGATTGGAGCAGAACAGAGAAAACTGTAGAGTCATCCATGCTTAAGGGATACGGGGATTCTTAGGGATGATAAAACATCCGGGGTTAGATGCTGGCACAACCCTGTGCCTGATGCCACAGAATCAGTCAGAACCCTCAGCTTCAGCAACCCTTTTTGCCTCAGGAGAAGCACCCAGCTTTTACAAGGCACCTCACACAGTGGCTGGCTAGGTAGGCAGCAGGTCTGAGGAAAGACAGAGCCAGACAAACTTTTTAAGGGACATTTGCCATTGCAAATGAAGAGCCCCAACAGTTAGCTCCTCAATAGTTGGGAAATTGCTAAGCTGTCCCATCCTTGGACTTGAGCAGCTACACTTAAACATCTTCCCCTGGTGGTCCTCAAGGACTTGAAAATATTTCCCAGACCTCAGTCCTCAAGGACTTGGGAACATTCCCCAGACCTCAAGGTTCCAGGCAGGTCACAAAGTTCAGCCAGGGCACAGATGTTGCCTGAGACAGATAACGAGCCAGTCAGCCACAATCGTGCGTGTTTGCATGAAGGTCTGGCACCGATTACCAAACTCCCCTTGTACCCCCACCACTCCGCTTGCGGTTTTAGACTTTAAAAACTGGCTGTAATTTCTGCTCAGAGTTCACTCCTTCCCAAGGCTGCTGAACCCCAGCGCGCCGGCTTAATGAAAATCCTCTTGCATTTTGCAGTGAACTTCGGCTCCCTGGTGGTCTTTGGGGCGAGGGTCCTGAGAGAAAGACTGCAGGGTCTTTCACAACCAACACAAGAAGGCTGACAAAGCAACAAGCAATCCCCTGAAGACAGCCAACCAGCCTCTGACAGGACTCTCCACTTCAGTTCTCAGAAGCCACTGCCTGGGAAGAACCTAAAAACACCGGCTCTTTACACTGTCTCCAATTAATACGAAGCTGTTTAGAACTTAAAACTGGCAAGTGTTGGAGTCATCACTTTAGAAACAAAGATAGTCTTTACATGCCTGCTCCCATGACCAAGGCAACCTACAACTGTTCTTCCAGGTCAAAATCACTTGCTCCCATCGGGACACAGTGTGATAGAAAACAAAGGTAATCTCCACAACTCTCTGCCTACCAAGCTGCCCCAACAGCTTAAGTCAAGTGGGGGAACCCAGGGCTGTGACTTACAGACACCATGTGGACTGGGCCAGTGTGGAACTACTAGTAGATTCAAAGCACTTTCTAGAGGCTAGAGGGATGTCACAGAATGGCCTAGCACATCTTTTGTTTTGTTTTGTTTGAGAACAGGATCTCACTGTGTTACCCTGGCTGGCCTGGAACTCTATGTATATCACACTCGCAGAGATCTGTCTCCCTCTGTCTTCCAATTACTGGGATTAAAGCCACTTGCTTCTATACCTGGGTAAAAATAATTTTTTTAATTATTTTACGTATGAGTGCTCTCCATGTACCCCTGCATGCCAGAAGAGGGCATCAGATCTCGTTACAGATGGTTGTGAGCCACCATATGGGTGCTGGGAATTGAACTCAGGTCCTCTGGAAGAGCAGTCAGTGTTCTTAACTGCTGCTGAGCCATCTCTCTAGCCCCAAAAATAAATCTTTAAAAAAAAAAAAAGTGGAAGCCGGGCGTTGGTGGCTCACACCTTTAATCCCAGCACTCGGGAGGCAGAGACAGGCGGATCTTTGTGAGTTCGAGACCAACCTGGTCTATAAGAGCTAGTTCTAGGACAGCCTCCAAAGCCACAGAGAAACCCTGTCTCGAAAAACCAAAAAAAAAAAAAAAAAAAGTGGAATGTAATACCCATGGGTTGACCCCTGGCAAACAACATCTGCACACACATATATACATTCCTGCTATCCCCACCTCCAGAAAGAGAAATGCTTTTACCTGTGTTGCTGAATTAGGTACCTAGAAAAAAATAAATCACAATAAACTTGGTTAGGCACAAGAATAGATGCATTTCTACAGCCTCTCCAGGCTTCAGCTAATGGCCACTTTCATCCACGGGAGACATCACTAAGACAACAGCAGTGTCTCCACTCAGGACTGGCCCTCTTGTGCTTCCAGCTAAGTGCCAATCACTGTATTTCTTTCTACAGCCTCACCTTTCCTATCAGGAGTGCCATTCTGGAGGCCTGCTGCTGTGGAGTCACTATTCCCTACGCCTCAAGACCGTGCTGTTCCTGAGAGCCCACTTCCCCCCCCCCCCAAGACAGGGTTTCTCTGTGGCTTTGGAGCCTGTCCTGGAATTAGCTGTTGTAGACCAGGCTGGCCTCGAACTCACAGAGATCAGCCTGCCTCTGCCTCCCGAGAGCTGGGATTAAAGGCGTGCGCCACCACCGCCCATTAAGAGCCCACTTTTTATGGCTGTTAAGACCATAGACATTTATGGTATCTGTTAACATCATAGACATTAAAACACCAGATAGTTTCTAAAGCTGCTAGCAGTTGTTGAAGACCTGGCCTTGGTCAGCTGCTATCAAGGTGAATGCAGGAAATTTAGAAACTAAATAGAAATAAGAAAGTGAAGTACATACAAACTACATAAAGATCACTTCCACAGCTACTGATGCCACAGTGTTAGAGAGCACAACCTCCTGCCCAGGTCAGGCACCTGCTGAGATCACTCTGACCTTAGAGGGTGCAGAGAGCAGAACACAGTTGTGTGTCCAGATGATCCTTACCCTCAGAATGGCAGGGCTGCTGTAACGAGCCATGCTGAGGGCGTCCATTCCTTCACACTCTTCTATGTCCACCCTTCGGCTGCATTTGAAGGCCTGGCTCACCAGGAATGCTGGAAAAGGTAACATCCCAGGGTGGGGTGGGGTGGGGGGATACAGAACATGTTCAGCTAGTGAATGGGAACTAAAACAGTCATGTATAAAAAGCAAAATAATCTACAACATCTTTAAAATGGGGCTTAAAAACTAGGTTTCAACTAGGAAACACACACAAAATCTAAATTTAAAAGGCACAAAAGATACTGCACAGTGTCTCCCTCCAATTCTGTCCCCTAACCAGGTCCCTGCCCCAGAGGGAGTAGCATGACTGCCTGCTGAAGCTTTCAGAAATACTATGCAAATCAAACAAAACACATACGTAAAAGGTAGTTTTTTTTTCTTTAACAATCACTTTCCCCTTTTGGACACAGATGCGCATACGATACACTATACTGTGCATTTTTCCATGAGCAATGAATGCATCCTGAAGACTTTCCAGCAGCCGTGAAGGGATAATTAGTGTTCTCTTGTGGATGTAGCATAATTACTCCCCAGTTCCCTGCTAATGGCCACTGCAGTTGTCTCTGCCTTGGCTGTCACTGTCAAGTCTGCATGGGGCTTTTGCATGTGGGCCAAGCCTTCCTGCAGGAGCTTCAGTAATTTTGATCCATATGTTACACAGCCCTTAGCAGGGCAGGACCAACTGTTCCACCAGCTACTGCAGGAGACTATCTATTCCCCACAGCTTCAAACCCTCTGGGCTTTGTCACTCTGAAAAGTGGAAATTTCTTCTTAGTTTGGCTTGTTTGCTTTTTGAGACAAGGTCTCATTATGTAGCTCAGGCTGGCCTCAAGTTGGTGGTCCTCCCTCCATCTCCTAAGAGCTGGGGTGTGAGGCATGCCCACTGCACCAGGCTTCAGCTAGTTTTAACTGGCCTACTATGTGCAGGGAAGCTTCTTCTCTACAGAACTTGTTATCCATTCATTCATTACAGCTGCTCACAGCTGGCTGAGGGTTAGAGAGTCATGGCTTTGGCCCTCCATTGCCCAGGTCCTCGGCCTTGGCATCTCTGCTCTCCTGGGAGAAGCAGGTCTTACCCAGGCACTTGAGCACAATGCTCCCAGTGCTCCCACTGTGAGACTCAGCCCAAGAAATCCTACACAAGCGGGCATGGGGTGCACACTTGGAATTCCAGAACTTGGGGGCTGAGTTGGAAGGACCAGCATGAGGTACACTGAAAGACCCTGACTCAGCAAACAAGCAAGAGCCAGGCAGGGTGGCACATGACTTTAATGCCAGCATTGGGAAGGCACAGGGAGACACAGAGGCAGGAAGGTCTTTGTGAGCTGATGGCCAGCCTGATCTATGTACGGACTTCTGAGCCAGCTGGGGCTACACAGTGAGCCATTGTCTCAAAAAACTAAAAATAAAGCTCACGGACCCCAATCTGACAGCAAGGGAACCAGCACAGGACGGACCCAGAGCCCCTGAACGTGGGGTTCTGTTAGGAGGCCTGGGCAGTCTGTGGGGCCTCTGGCAACAGAACCAGTATTTATCCCTATTGCACAAACAGACTTCGGGAGCCCATTCCCCATGGAGGGATACTCTCTCAGCCTAGACACACAGGGGAGGGCCTAGGCCCTGCCCCAAATGATGAGACAGACTTTGATGATCCCCCATGGAAGGCCTCACCCTCTCTGGGGAGGAGCTGGAAGGTGGGATGGGGAATTGGTGGGGGGCAGAGGAGGAAGGGAAGGAGAGAGAACTGGGATACATAAAATAAGACTTTCTAATAAAAAAGAAAGAAACTAAAAATAAATAAACAAACAAAACAAGTGAAAAGAAACTGGAAGCCTCACCATCCCACTTCTGAAAACAAACAAAAGACAAAAAAAAACAAAAAACAAAAAAACCTAGGGACATTAGCAAGGCCTCAAGGGATACTGTGAAAACAACTTTGTTACCACATTTGACTTGGGGGGTGGCATATGAGAGATACAGCACATGGTTAGAAGGCAGAGGATAACCTACGGGACTCAATTCCCTCCCTCCACTCCATGAGTCTCCGAAGTTGTCAGGCACCTTTACCTGCCATGTCACTGGCCCCTAGGTGAACGGTTTTGTTTGTTTGGTTTTTTGGTTTTTGAGACAGGGTTTCTCTGTATTGTTTTGGAGGCTGTCCTGGAACTCGCTCTGTACACCAGGCTGGCCTCGAACTCACAGAGATCCGCTTGCCTCTGCCTCCCGAGTGCTGGGATTAAAGGTGTGCGCCACCAATGCCAGCTCCCCTGGGTGAAGGCTAACCAGAGGAAACAGCCCCATGCAGCATGGCAACCAGCACACTTAAGTGCTTAGTGAAAAGCCGTAGAGATCTGTCATCCTGGACATGTGTACCTGTGTGTCACTGCCTGCAAGGCTTACTGCAGTGTTCAGGCAGCCACTGACCAAGGTAGAAATCACCTCTTCAGGCAGGCAACCTTCGAGACCTGTCTCTTGAAGAGTCTTTAGGCTATGAAGCCTGATGACTGGCAAGCTTACTCAACTAACCGGAAGGGCAGGGGCGCTCTCTTACCCGCAGGGTTCTCATCTGTACACAGAGATGACGTGAGAGGCGAAGGCAGTCGAAGAAATGAACCTGAAGACGCACCTGCAGTCTGCAGAGGGACTCCATACTGCAAACACAGAACCCACCGGTGAGACAAGGTGCTCCTTCAGCATGCAATGGACACATGCCAGTGCCCACAGAGCTATGGGTTTGGGGACACAATGTTTGAGGACAATCTCTGCCACACAGGGCTCATTCTCAGCTGTCAACCACATCCACACATGCCTTTTTAAAGTAAATGTGAAGCTTCATGTGGCAATGTATACCTTTAATCCCAGCATTCAGGAGACAGAAGCAAATGCATCTTTATGTGTTTAAGGCCAGCCTGGTCTATGTAGTCCCATATCAGACAGAGCTACACAGCCAAAACTGTTGTGTAACAGTTTCCTCCGATATTGAAACATTCTACCCTGAACAGAAGCTCCTTAAGCAGGAAGGTAAACAACTCAAAGGGACTTCAGGAAGTCCCTGAAACTGACCAGATTCACTAGGCCCCTCCCTGCCAAAGTAAGCAATAAAAGCCGAGAGTCCCTTTAAGGCTAAATGCAAAGGAGACTCTCAGACCAGATCAGCTGCCTGATAGAAGCAGTAACTAACCTGGAAGAGGTTTAGACCAGTGATTGTCACAGGTGTTACCTAAGACCATCTTGCACATCAAATATTTACATTATGATTCATAACTAGCGAAATTACAGCTATGAAGTAACAATGAAAATAATTTTATGGTAGGCGGTCACCACAACATGAGGAACTGTATTAAAGGGTCACAGCGGTAGGAAGATAGAGAACTACTGCTATTTATTTATTTATTTATTTATTTATTTATTTTAGGGACAAGGTTAACTGTGTCCTCTAGTTGGAAGGCAGAGGCGGGCAGATAACTGTAAATTAGAGGTCATCCTGGTCCACATAGGGGTTCTAGGTGAACCAAGGCTACACAGTGAGATCCTATCTGAAGCAAATAAACAGAGGCTTAGAAGGACATGTGCACCTGTGTGTGCCTGTCACTATATTGTCGCCTGTTTCATTATGGAATGCCCTTTGGCATAGGAGGAGAAGCTGAAGCAGTGTTTACCTTTGTGGACAGGAGTCAGATGGCTGAGCACAAGTGTGAGGGAATCACTGTTCAGTAGCAGTCATTTAGATGGCAGTTGTAATACTTACTATAATCTTACAAGAGTTTGTGTGTGTGCGGATGTGGGGAGGGGTCCATGGAGGTCAGCAGTTAGCTGGATGTCTTCCTCAACTGCTCTTCACCTTAGCTTTTGAGACCAGGTCTCTCTACTTACAACTGGAAGCTCGTGTCTGCTAAGAAAGGATGATGGGGCAGGACATGGTGTTTTTGCAGAGGACCCAATTCAGTTTCTAAGCCCCCCATGGGCTCTAAGCTCACAATCATCTGTAACTCCAGCTTAGGGGGATCCAACACCCTCTCCTGGCCTCCACAGGCACTACACTCATTTGCATCTACCCCCCCCACAAACGTAATTATTCCAGTGTGGAGGTGCACACCTTTGATCCTAGCACTTGAAGGCAGAAGCAGGCCTCTGTGAGTTTGAAGCCAGCCTGGTCTACATACTAAGACAGTCAAGGCTATATAGTGAGACTGTCTCAAAATAAACAAACATAAATGCATAATTAATGTTTTAATTAAAAAATGGATAGTGACTTCCACTCAGGAGGTAGAGACAGGAAGGTGATCATTTCAAGGACCAGCTGAACTACACAGCGTATAGAAGGGGGGGCTGGGGTCCTGGGGAATGCATGAGCAGCATGAGTCCCATCCCCAGTGCTGCCAACATTGGAATGGTGGGACACACACAAGGCAGGCGTGTCAAGATGTTTCTCTCAGGTCAGTGGGACAGTCGTGTCCTTCCCAGGCTGCATTGGGTAATGCTGGGAAAGACCTCCACAGTGCCTGGCACACAGGCAGGGAACACTCAAAGAACAGTAACCAGATTTCATATCAACATGGCAACACAAAGATCATCACAGAAAAAAAGTGTTCTAGACCAATGTGGTCATGAACCCTACTTCTACAATTATATACAAATTTGTATATACACTTACAAACCAGGATGAATGAACATGGGCCAACCCTTTCTCAATGGTTTGCAATGTGAATTTTCTTGTGTGTGGGGGAAAAGGTGGGATTGACATCATAGTCTGGAGCACACTAAGCATGTGCTCTACCAATAACCTTTCGATTCTTACTGAGGCTCGGCAATTAGTCTCTATTTCCTTTCCAAAGGATGCTTTGGAAAAGGTTATTTTTCCCTTCCTTTTCTATCTTCGTGTGTCTGTCTGTGTGTGTGTGTGTGTGTGTGTGTGTGTGTGTGATACAACTGTTTGTACATGCAGGGACACTCTTGTGTGGCTGCATGAGCACGTGGGTACAGGGGCAAATGGAGGCTTGAGGTTGATGTCAGGCATCATTCAGTCATTTGCCCACCTGAGTCAATGAAGCAGGGTCGCCGGGCGTTGGTGGCGCATGCCTTTAATCCCAGCACTCGGGAGGCAAAGGCAGGCGGATCTCTGTGAGTTCGAGGCCAGCTTGGTCTACAGAGCTAGTTCCAGGACAGCCTCCAAAACAATGCAGAGAAACTCTGTCTCGAAAAACAAAACAAAAACAAAAAAACAATGAAGCAGGGTCTCTCAATCAAATCCAGAGCTTGCAGATAGAGTCAGTCTGTAGCTAGTTAGCTCCTGGGGATCCCATGTTCACCTTCTGATGCCAAAATGACAGACAGGCCACTACTCCCCCATAAGCATTTACAAGGATAGTGGAAATCCAAATACTCTTCTTCATGTTTGTGGCTCAAGTACTTAATCCCCCAGTTATCTCAACAGCCCTCTTGTTTTAAGGCAGGGTTTCAGTAAGCTACTTTAAATTTGAACTCCTGACCCTCCTACCTCCACCTCCCAACTGCTGAGATTATAGGTGGGTACCAGTACACCCAGCTTTTAGAAAGTACAATATTAGGGGCCAGCCATTGGTGGCGCACACCTTTAATCCCAGCACTCGGGAGGCAGAGGCAGGTGGATCTCTGTAAATTCGAGACCAGCCTGGACTACCATGGGAGTTTCAGGACAGCCTCCAAAGCCACAGAGAAACCCTGTATCGAAAAAACAAAAAAAAAAAAAAAAGAAAGTACAATATTAATGGGTCATATTTTACTGGTTTGTTAATGAAGAGATATGTAAATAGCACACAACTTCCTAGTGTCTGTAAAACAAAATACAATTCTCAGACAAGGACCTAGCATCTAGGAAGTTCACTCCCCATGCCCAGAGATAAGCTTTGATCATTTTGCTAAACTCTCTTGGGCTAAAAAGAACAGAAAATTTTGCAGAGATAAAATTCAACTGCAGAGCTGGGTGGTGGTGGCACATGCCTTTAATCCCAGCACTCAGGAGGCAGAGACAGACAGATCTGGGAGTTTGAGTTCCAGGATAGCCAGGGCTGCAGAGAAACCCCATCTCAAAAAACCAAACCAAACAAAACAAATTCAACTGCAGACGTGATCTCAAATCCTGGATTCAGAATTTGAACACTCACTTGAATTCCCATGGTCTTTGACTGAGAGGAGCAGCAATGGCCCTCAGTGGTGTCACCTGTGTCCCAAAGGTTGACAGTTGGGTTTCTATGTTGATACTGAAATTAGCTAATAAGGAGAGAGTATTTCAGGATATATGAGAAGCTGCCATCAAGTTGTTGGCTCACCTTGTATTTAGTGGGCTGTGGAGTGTCTGATATAGCTGTGGGAGGAACATCTGATTCGGCACTCAATGTAAAACCACCCAATGCTTGCGTCACTCTGTTGAAATAGTCTTCGTTGGGCACTTCTGGATTAGCAAAGGACAGTGCAGGCTTGTCTGTTTTTACACAAAGCATTGAAAATCAGCAGAAATGTATGGAGTATGTGACATCCCAACTTTGGAAACAAAACTGATGTTATCAGCTGCACAGTGGTGGCACACACCTTTAATCCCAGAACTTGGGAGGCAGAGGCAGGTGAATCTTTGTGAGTTCAAGGCCAGCCTGGTCTACAGAGTGAGTTTCAAGACAGTCAGGGCTACACAGAGAAACTCTGTCTCAAAAAACAAAACAAAACAAAAAACAAACAAAGAGACTGACATAAGAAAAGTTTTTCTGGGTTGTCTAGATGACTCAGCTGGTGAAGGCACTTGTCACCAGTCCTGACACCTGAGTCTGAGCCCTAGGATCCACATGGTGGAAAGAGAGAACTGACTCTAGAAAAGACGCCTGTAACCTATGCACGCATGTACACAAATAAATGTAATTTAAAATATTTTCTTGTCGGAAAAGACAAGCTCCACGTCCACTGGGCTGCAGTTATGGCTTAGTCATTGTCAGCTGTCCCTTAGGATAAATCACAGCACATTCCCCCAAGTCTTTAATTACAAGGGAACAAATCCCAAATGTGGATATACTTGGGAATGAGATGATGAGTGTGCCTCTGCCTTTGCTGCCCTGAGAACAGCGTACACTCAAGAGCAACACACTGCCTAGGCTGACTGCTCAGGTAAAAATAAAGATCCTGTGTGCATGCAAATACTCTTAGTAAAAATAAAAAAGAAAAGGGAAATGGAAACCACAGGTAATATTTAAAGATGAAACTGATTTTCAGCTATTACTCCAAGAGGAAACAAAACGTGCAGGCACACACATGCACACGTGTGCATATGCACACACAACCTGGATTCCTATGTCTACATGGCATAAACATCTTTGAAGTCAAGTGTAAGATAAAGACAGCTGCAGCACACGGGATTGAAGACTGTGTGCCAAGGATCTATAGTTACCTGTAAACCAGCCTTCAGCCTTGAATTATCCACACAACCAAAACACAGAACAGGTGCTTTAAATGTAACTGAAGAAGGCGTTTCCCCAAAAGTCACTTGTAAAAGAAAAACTGGGCTTCACAAGATCTATCAAATTCAAATACTTACAGTTCGAAATATGGATGCAGAAGATGGATGGGTTGATCTGGTCAATGAGTTTAAAGACCCGGTGAGGAGGGTCTGCTGTCAAATTCATTGAGTAGATGGCTGCCTTCTGACTACAAAATTGTCTATCACCCCTGAAAATTAAGGAAAGCAACAACAAGTTTTTAGTTCACAAGCTAAGCCAGATCATCTTTAATTTTCCAGATGCCTGCAATTACACTAAGAACCACAAGGACACTGATGAAGTCTGAGGTCAACACAGAATCCATTGGTACTTATTTGCTGGTACAGTGTGGCACTGAAGCTTTTATCTCTAAGAGAAAGAAGACAAGCAGACTAACTTTTGTCAGGCATGGCGGTGGCCTGACAAAAGCACTGGGGTGGTGTAGAAAAGTGGGCAGTGGTGCTGCACACCTTTAACCCCAGCACTCTGGAGGTAGAGGCAGGCAGATTTCTGTGAGTTTGAGACCAGCCTGGTCTACAGATTGAGTTCCAGGACAGCCTCCAAAGGTACATAGGGAAACCCTGTCTAGAAAAAAAAAATGGCTCTGTGAATTCAGGTCTACACAGCAAGTTCCATGTCAGTTAGAGCTACACAGAGAGACCCTATCTCAAGATGTATGTACGTACATACGTATGTATATATGTATGTATCTATAATAGGTACTCCTGTGCTCATGAAGGTCCCATCTGATGGGGGACAGACTTCCAGTCATTACATGACAGGAGTTGTTAAATGGAACGAAACATTTATGAACTGAAGCCTATGTAACGGCAGGCTCTACAGATTAGCATTCGGACTTTGGCTATTTCTTTCTTTCTTTTTTAGAGATAAGGTCTCCCAATAATTGCCCAGGCTAGTTTCTAACACAGGAGCTCAAGCGATCCTCCTGCCCCAGGATCCCCAAGGTGCTGCAGCTACCCTGGAGTTTAATTTAGTTCATATTTTTTTGGGGGGTATCACAAACAAAACTGAGTTTTAAAAATCTTAAGTCTTTTCCTGATAGATTTAGCCCTAACCCTTACAGCTGTGTTTTAAAGACTCTTTTAGGGAGCCCACCATCCAGCTCCCAATAAACACATGGAGACTTATTCTTTCTTATAAATGCCTGGCCTTAGCTTGGCTTGTTTCTAGACAGCTTTTCTTAACTTAAATTATCCCATCTACCTTTTGGCTCTGGGCTTTTTATCTTTCTTTATTCTATATATCTTTCTTTCCTTCTCACTCAGTGACAGGCCATGTGACTGGCCCCTGGTGTCCTCCCCTCCTTTTCTTTTTCTTGCTCCTCCCTTTTCTCCTCTCTTCTCTTTATTCTCTCTGCCTGGCAGCCCCAACTATCCCTATCCCCTGCCTAGCTATTGGCCACTCAATAGAGAGGCAGTGAGGGGAGAAGGCTGGTACATACGAAGATACAGGAATTGCAGGCTTCTTCCCAATGTTTGAAAGGGATTCGGTTTCTCTGCTGGATTGATAAAATGGTTTCTCATGGGAAGAGTCCATTGTGTTTCCAAAAGGACTAAGTCTGCCAGGTGGCTGTCACTGAATTTCAGTAAACTCTCTCTGCAGTAAGCTGGTCCCACCCCATATGCATGACCCTTTTCAAAGGGCTGCTACTTTTTGCAAAAACCTCTGAAACACAAGATGAGATCACTCAGAACTGATCTCTTACTCACCTTTTACTCCCATGAGAATGTCTCTCTCCATCATTTCCCATGCACGGTGAACTGAGACTCCTGGCTTTGTTTACAGCCAGAGAGGTGCATGCAAAGCATCCCGACTAACTAGTTAATGTCCATACAAAGGGCTGGGAAACACAGGGATGGGGGAGGTGCTCAGTGGGTAAAGTACTCGCCTCAGAAACATGAGGACCTAAGTTAAGATCCCAGCATGAAAAAAGCTAGGCATTGATAGGTATCTGTAACCAGGCAGAGGCAGAGACAAGAAGTTGTTAGCCAGCCAGTCTGGTCAAAAAACAAACAAAAAGAGTTCCATGTTCAGTGTGAAACCCCATCTCAAAACTAAGGTGGTGCCGGGCAGTGGCAGTGCATACCTTTAGTCCCAGCACTTGAGAGGCCAGTCTAGTCTACAGAGTGAGTTCCAGGACAGCCAGGGCTACACAGAGAAACTCTATCTCAAAAAAAGTAAACAAAATTAAGCTGGAAAGCAATAGATGATGGAGACCCATGTTGAGTTCTGGCCAAAACGGCATGAATGCCAAGACAAGCATACATACATACATACATGCATACATACACACATACATGCATACACTATACATATACAAAGGTGCACACAGACTAATTTACAAGTACAAACAGGTGACACATTACCTGTGCACAACTCAAATATTAACCTACAAACACAGAGAGACTTATTTCTTTTTTTTTTTTTTTTTTGGTTTTTTTTCGAGACAGGGTTTCTCTGTATTGTTTTGGAGCCTGTCCTGGAACTCGCTTTGTATACCAGGCTGGCCTCAAACTCACAGAGATCCGCCTGCCTCTGCCTCCCGAGTGCTGGGATTAAAGGCGTGCGCCACCAACGCCCGGCCTTTTTTTTTTTTGAGACTTATTTCATAACACTCTAGAGCAGTGGTTCTCAACCTTCCTGATACCATGACCCCCATGCTGTGGTGACCCCCAACCATAAGTTCATTTTGTTGCTACTTCATAACTGTATTCTGCTCCTGTTATGAATGGCAATGCAAATATCTGATATACAGGATATCTGATACACGACCTCCAAAGGTCACGACCCACAGGCTGAGTACTGCTGCCCTAGAGGTCATACGCATGCTCTTCCGTTGCCCACACTACGTTGGGGTTGCCTGCAGACAAGCGACTGCATCTGACAACACAGGGCTTTGCACAGTGCGGTTCCTGAATAGCGAGGGACATGCTTTTTGTCCCCACATTTTATTGTCCTGGCCAAACTGCCATCAAAACTCCCTGTCACATGCTTACGTGACAACTGGAACTGAGCAGGCAGAGAAGACACTGAAGTCTGTGGGGCTGCAGTCAGGATCACAGCAGCAGTTGACATCACACTGTGCTGGAAGCAGGTCACAGGCACACAGAGCAGCAACTGTGAAATAAAGACAGTGGGGTCAGACGACCACAGCAGTGAGCTGTTACTGTTCCCTGCCACCAGCCACTGTTACAAAGTGCCTGGTTCAGCCGGGCGGTGGTGGCGCACGCCTTTAATCCCAGCACTCGGGAGGCAGAGACAGGCGGATCTCTGTGAGTTCGAGGCCAGGCGGGACCGATAGCCTCCAAAACAATACAGAGATACCCTGTCTCGTAAAAACCAAAAAAACAAAGCAAAAAACAAAAACAAACAAACAAAAAAAACCCAAAGTGCCTGGTTCCTATTGTGCTGGGGGACAGTGACTTTGAGCACCCTCCATCAGTGTCCCCCTGAGGTGGCTGCAGATGCCTGCATGCCTACATCAGAGTAGATGCCAAGAAAGCACCACTGGCAGCCTCATCCCTTTCCTCACATGCCCTGGTTGCTTTTCCTTTTTTGTCTTTTTTGAGACAGGGTTTCTCTGCCTTGGCTGTCTTGGAACTCACTCTGTAGACCAGACTGGCCTCAAACATGGAGATTAACAATTGAGATTAAAGTTTTTCATTCAGCCCCTTTGAAACTGAACTCCTAGTCATAAGATCGATCCTGACCAATAATCAAACGTTCCTACTGTGGCTTTAAATGCCCTTTTTTTTTTCTTTTTCTTTTTGAGACAGAGTTTTTCTCTGTGTAGCCCTGGCTGTCCTGGAACTCACTCTGTAGACCAGACTAGCCTCAAACTCAGAGATCTACCTTCTGAACAATGCCTGAGATTAAAGGCATGTGCCATTATAACCCTGCCAAAATGTTATTTTTTTATTTAAAAATTTACAATACAGGGTAATAAATTTATGGCAAGAAAATATAATATGGAGGAAAAGCAGGAAACTCACTTCATACCCCTGTAGCTACTTTGACTGTATTCAGTACTCCATTGTTAGCCCATTTAAGGGAGACCTCCACAGGTGCAGAAGAGAGCCTCCTCTAACAGTCTCTGAGAGCCCAGAGTACTCAGGGTTTCACTACAGTGTTTCAATTTATTTCTAATGTTCTGTATCAAATGGAGAGATTTTATCAAATGGAGACAACTCTGACAGAAGTTACAGAGCCTGCAGAGAAGGCTGGGCAGTTAAGAGCACTGGCTGCTCTTGCAGCAGAGCATCTGGAACACTGGTTCCAGGGGATCTGACGCCCTCTTCTGGCCTCTGCAGGCACCAGGCACACTTACAGTGCACAGATATACATGCAGGCAAAACATCCATCCACATAAGATAAATATGAGTAAATCTTAAAAAACAAAACAAACAATACCAGAACATGAAAATAACAAACCCAATCCATGGCACAGACCATTGTGAGGAGGGAGGAAATAATACATTTGGGGCTTCAGTATTTTTTTGTCGTTGCTGTTCTGTTTCCTGAAACAGAGGCTCATGCAGACCAGGCTGGCCTCCTAATCATCACACCTCTATGTAGGAAATGTGAGATAACAGGTGTGTACCATGATTCCTCCCCTCCCGCAGCTAAGGCATCACTGAATCTTTTTTTTTTTTTTTTTTTGGTTTTTCGAGACAGGGTTTCTCTGTGGCTTTGGAGGCTGTCCTGGAACTAGCTCTTATAGACCAGGCTGGCTTTGAACTCACAAAGATCCGCCTGCCTCTGCCTCCCAAGTGCTGGGATTAAAGGCGTGCGCCACCAACGCCCGGCCGTCACTGAATCTTAACTATAATGTTGTTTCCTTTTTTGGAAAACAATCTCAAGCTACAAACAAATAAAGGAATTTTAGTCAAATGCATGTAGGATGTCATGCCAACATTCTTGAGTGTATGAATGAATGGTTTCACAATAAAAACTAACAAAACGAGCTCTAGAGATGGGAAGTCAACACCTGTGCCTCCCAGCAACTAGGAGGTAGAGTCAAGAAGGTATGCAGGTTAGAGGCCAGACCGAGTCTCTGAGCTAAACTGTCAGGAAGGGAGCTAGGCAAGAAGGAGAAGGCTGGAAGCCAAGCTTGGTTCCCAGCACCCAGTTCAGGCAGCTGACAACCACTTAATACAGCCCCAGGGACTCTGAAGCCCTCTCCTGACCTCTGAGGGCACCAGCACTTATAAGCACATACTCACACAGAAATACAAATATACACACAGAATTAAAATATTTTTTTTAGTTTTAGAAAAATCCCTCCCCCAAATGGTATAACATGGTCTGGAGAAGCATGAAGAGAAATGAAAGTTTATTGATAATGCATAAGGCTATCTTAGTCTGAGAGACAAATATTCTCCCTCTAGACACTTTTCTCTAGCTAAGGACTCAACAGTATGCTCTCTAAAATGATACTGAAATCCCTGATCTGGGATGGGAAAATAAAGTGAGCGATCAGGCCCACTGCCTCACGTGTTGGCCTCTGTAACTAGATAAGGATTAGATAGACACATCATGGAGTTGTTGTGAAGATTAAGTGAAACACTTGGCAGGGTGCCTCTGGCACAGAGATAGTTAATAAGTGAGTTACTACTCAGTAAAGATGAAGTGCATATATGTCACGGAAAAGCCAGCCCTAGATATGAGTCCCAGTCATGTCAGCTCAAGCACAACTTCATTTTGGGGAGAAAAATCACTAATGGGTATACTTACCTGGATTAACGATAACCCAGTTCACAAACCTTAGTGGTAGTGCACGCCTTTAATCCCAGCACTTGAGAGGCAGAGGCAGGTGGTTCTCTGAGTTCAAGGACACCCTGCTCTACCAATCCAGTTCCAGGACAGCCAGGGCTACACAGAGAAACTCTGTCTCAGAAATAAAATAGAATAGAATAAACCATCCCCCTGAAAAAAAAAACCTTATAGAGCTTCAGACACAAATAGTTGGCTATATTGTCCCCACATATAATGATTTAACTTCTCTGCTAACTCACAAGTCAGCGGGTTAAGTATAAAGCAGAGAGTTTGGTTTATATATTAAAGTGTTAAATGTATTCCTCATTTGTTTCCCCCTTTGGTGTCGGGGATTGAACCCAGGGCCTCCTTGCATGATAAGTGGACACCCAAACCACTGAACCACACCACCTACCAGCCTGTGTATTTTTTTCTCACAAACTTCTCATAGCTTTCAAAGGAGGCCTCCCAGAATGACCTGAAATTAACTCGAGGAGTTCAGGATACCAGTCAAAGACAGCCCTTTAAGTTATCTATACTCTCAGCCTTACTGGGTTAAAGATCGTTTCCTCTCAAACAGTAATAAAATAATAAAAATATCACACAAACACACACACACTGTTACTCTCAATCCAGACAAGGCTGTCCAAAACTCTTTTTCTGAAATCACAGCTCCACTGAGAACCTAATGACTGCTACAAATCCTCACCCTAGAAAAATGCAGTTAGAAAATTTCACGAACTCAAAGGGTCACAGAGCCCCTGAAGTCACAGACGCAAAGTCAGATTATAAAATATTCACTAAATGTGCAACCTCAAGATTAAAAGGCCAGTTTCTGGGGTGGTGATATGGTACAGATAAAGGCACTTTGGTCTGGTGCCCACTTGGTTTGGCAGAGCAAAATTCAAGGTGTCCTCTGACCTCCACAGTATTTTGTGCTGCAAACACACAAATAAGTAAACGTAGTGGTTTCTTTTTTAAGTGACACCAGTTCCTGAGTCGCATTCATTATACATAAATAAAAATCCTATTATCTGGGCCTAAGCCCTCGCCTTACACTCTCCCACCTCCAGCTCAACACAGGAGGCAAGCTGAAATCTGTTATCAGAGAATGGCGTCTGAAATGTACCCGTTGAAAAAAGCTCAGCAGAGCCTATGCGTTCATTTCCTCCACGTTCCAGAAACTATTTCATCTTCAGCTGCGTGGGTGTATCCAATATAAACTTTGGGATTAACATTGCCCGGGACTACTGAAGTTTTCCCACATCTGGGAGTGTGCCAACTTAGGCCCCGCTTTCTGCACTTGTGTGCCCGAGATCCCGTCTCCCTCGCAAGGTTCTGACAGGGAGCCTGACAAGAATGGAACTTTGAGCGGTTATCACTTTTCGCATGTTCCCACTAGTCTTCTACCCGCTCCAGGGAGTTAACTCTTTGTACCCACCGTCCGTGACCGGGGTGGGCCTGGGGCCAGAGAGCTCCGGCGCCCTGGGAGTCCCTGGGGTCCTAGGCGACCCGGAGGGCCTGAGAGTGGCTGGGATGGCCTCGGTGGAGTTGAGGTCCTCCTTCGTCATGGTCGGGGTGGCCACGGCCGGGGTGGCCACGGCCTGGGTGCTCGCTGAAGCGCAGCAGCTCAGGAGCATCAGCAGGAGCGGCGGGAAACCCCGCGGCCCCATGGCCGAGCAGAGCATCCCGCGCCCGGGTCCCAGGCCTGTGAGTTGCCCGGCAACAGTCACAGCCAAGCGCAAGGTATCATGGGAAAGGGCTCGCGAGGTCGCGCTAGTCTGCGGGAGGAGGTGGAGCCTGGAGTCAGGCTAGTGGGGATAGGCTTAAGGGCAGAACGTTACGAAAGGGGCGGGCATGTGGGCGAGACTACGCCGTGCCTTTAGGGACGGAACTGGGTGGACACTTTAGGGGCGGGGACTGCAGGAGGCGGGCTCGAGAGGGGCTGTGGGCGGGGACTGACCAAAAGCGGAGGGAGGGGCAGGGCCAGGACCCTCGGGGGCGGAGCCTGAGGCTGCTCTTTTGAAGGAGCCCTCAGAGAGCTATAAGGTGTAAACTCTTGAGACACCCTGTGGGCTGCGTGGCGCTTTCAAAATTGTAGATTCCCAGCTACAACCTCATGATATTTGGAGTCAGTCAAGTCTAGGACAGAGCCTAGAAGTAAGTTTTTTTTCAAGATTTTATCATTTATTATGTATATAGTGTTTGTTCTACCTGCATGTTGTTTGCCTGCACACCAGAAAAAGGCACTGGATCTCATTACAGATGGTTGTGAGCCACCATGTGGTTGCTGGGAATTGAACTCAGGACTTCTGGAAGAGCAGTCAGTGCTCTTAACCGCTGAGCCATCTCTCCAACCCAGAAGTGAGTACTTCTAATAAAAGACCCACAGCGGGTAAATGGAGGGAAATTTAGAAGCGAATTGGGTCCTTTGCAGGAATATGGAGTTAAATCACATATCCACCACCCTTGAATTCCCTACCATAGGTCACTGGCTTTGCCTTCTTTGCTTTTAGATGGATACATCGCAGGAGATCAACAGATGACTTCTACTCACATATTTATGATGAGAGAACAAAAGAACCCTTAGTTTTTTCTTTTAGACAGGATCTCACTGTGTAGCTGGGACCTAGAACTCACAACAGTCCAGTCCTCCCTCAGTCTCCAATGACAGGCATGTGTCACCGTGTCCAATCTCCATTTCTACCTTTATGATTATATGACTTGGGAGGCTTTCTTCAAGTCTTTCTTTTTCTGAAAGGTTTATTCATTTATATATTTTATGTACATGGCTATTTTGTCTATATACATGCTCACTAGAAGAGGGCAACAGATCTCATGGGACTACAGTCATAGACGGTTGTGAGCCTCCACATGGGTGCTAGGAATTGAACTCAGGATCTCTGGAAGAGCAGCCAGTGCTCTTAATGGCTGAGTCATCTCTCCATCTCAAGTCTAAAGTCCCATGCTTACAACCATTCCGTGAAAAGTCCTCAAAGTCCTCTGGTCCAATTGCAATCCCTGATGAACCCAATGTAATTTTTTGACATTTGACTTTTTTAAAAGTCAAAATGGTCAGGCGTTGGTGGCGCACGCCTTTAGTCCCAGCACTCGGGAGGCAGAGGCAGGCGGATCTCTGTGAGTTCGAGGCCAGCCTGGTCTACAGAGAGAGTTCCAGGACAGCCTCCAAAGCCACAGAGAAACCCTGTCTCCAAAAACAAAAACAAAAACAAAAATCAAAATGTGGCCGGGAGGTGGTGGCACATACCTTTAATCCCAGCACTTGGGAGGCAGAGGCAGGCAGATCTCTGTGAGTTTGAGACCAGGGTAGTCTACAAGAGTTAGTTCCAGTACAGGCTCCAAGGTTACACAGGGAAACCCTGTCCTGAAAACAAACAAAAAAAGTCAAAATGTTGACTTTTCATATGCTCAAAACATTTTGCAAGCCTTAGTAGGTTTTTTTCGAGACAGGGTTTCTCTGTATTGTTTTGGAGTCTGTCCTGGAACTCACTCTGTAGACCAGACTGGCCTCGAACTCACAGAGATCCGCCTGCCTCTACCTCCCGAGTGCTGGGATTAAAGGCGTGTGTCACAACCACCCGGCCGTTTCCAGTGACTTTTATAAAGCCACTCTAATAGGTTCACTATAGACTTTAAAGTGGGCACCGGTCTTCATTTATCTTGGATGTCCTTCCTAAGAGTTCATCCTATGGTGTGTTTGTAAGTTGATAAGAAACTGCCCAACTTTTCTCCAGAATCTCTCTTGTGACACAGGCTGGCCTGAAACGTAGTGAATAAGTAAGAATGACCTTGAATTTCTGGTTTTCCTGCTCCCTCCTCCCCAGTGGATGGCAGGTACATGTCACCATACCCAGAGTATATGAGAGCAAAGATAAACCCAGGACTTCATGTGTATTACATAAGCACCCTAGATATTCCCAGATATTTGTTATTTGTTTGAAGAGAGGGAGAGAGGAGAGAGAGAGAGGGAGAGAGGAGAGAGAGGAGAGAGAGAGATTGAGAGAGAGAGACTGACTTACTGTGTAGTCTCCGTCCTTTCCAAACCAGCCTCCCTGGGGTGGAACTGTTCTTAATCCCATTGATATGACGACTCACACTGGCTTTGTAGTTTAATGCTGAGATACCAAAACCACCTAGAGTCTGAGGCTAGGTGTCATGACTCACTTGGAAGGTTCAGACAGTAGGATAATTCCGAAGTTCAAGGCCACTCTGAGCTACATGAAAAGATTTTGTCTGAAAGAAAATAAGGAAGAAAGGTGTATATAATTCCAGCACTGGAGGGGGGGGTCAAGGCAGGAAGATCAGGAGCTCAAGGTCAGCTTCAGCTGCATAGCAAGGTCAAAGCTAAGCCTGGGCTACATGACACCCTGTGTAAGAAAAAAAAAAACATACAAAGAGCGTCAAAAAGTGGGATCAAGCTACCCTCCTATTATCTTGAGATCTGCTGCTCTTTCCTCCCCAACTTCTGTTTGGGGTTCTAAGTTGTAAACGTGATTTCATCTTTGTTCTGGGGGACCTACAAGGAGTTCCTCCTTTGGGCCTTTCTTCCTGAGGCCTCGTGGTGCCTTGTCACCTGACACTGCCACTGTGACTTGTGTCCCAGCACATGCACATTCCACCCATGACCCCTCACTTATTGGAAAGGATGGACAGGTTTAAATGCGAAACTGAGGCTGGAGATATGGCTTGGTAGTTAAGAATGCTCACTGCACTTGTAGGAGACTGGGATTTGGTTCCTAGCATCCACTCCAGGCAACTCACAACTGCTCGTAAATCCACCTCTGGGGAACCAGAATTTCTCTTCTGGACTCTGTGGGCACCTGCATGCATGAACTCATACACACACACACACTCACACACACACACACACACACACACACACACACACACTCTTATGCATAATTAATAAATCCATAAAAGAAATCATAGAAAATGCATTATTAATGGGCCACTGTGTGGTTTATTAAAAGCCAGACATGGGGATAAAGCACCAGTAATCCCAGCTCTCAGGACTTTAAAGTAGGCAAGTTCAAGGCCAGTGTGGGTCATATACTGAGACCTCCATCTCAAAAACAAGCAGGCATAAATCCCCCAGAATGTTGAACCAAATGATCTTCTTTACAAATTAAGGAGAAAACAAAAACAAACAAACAAAAATACGAGCAAATACAAGACAGCTTAAGTCTTTGGCTTCCAATGTTGCAGATGTCCCTTGAATTATTGGGTTTTGGTCCCCATCTCTCCCTAGGAGCCTTTCTGGGGTTCATCAGTCCCAGCTGGCTTATTACTAAGAAATTCCTTCAGGAAGGCTTGGGGTTTTCCCACTCAGCAAGACCGTTGGTCTTATCTTCCAAGAAGTGCCTGGGGTGTGTAGTGAGCGATGTCTCCCCCGTTTTCTCTGTGTGTTCACCTTTTGATCCCTTCATTTTAGGAGCGTGCCTCTGGGACTGACAACTGTGGACTTGCCTACCTTGTTTCTGTGTTTTAGGAAAAGTCAGAAGAAATAGGAAAAGAGCACATCTATGAGGCATGGCATTGAACAGGGCTGGGGGTATGTATGGCAAAAAATCTCTCCACCTTTTGTTTGACTTTTCTATGAATCTAAATTGCCTTTAAAAATATGTTAAAGCCAGGCGGTGGTGGCGCATGCCTTTAATCCCAGCACTCAGGAAGCAGAGGCAGGCAGATCTCTGTGAGTTCAAGGCCGGGCTGGACCAGAGCCTCCAAAACAATACAGAGAAACCCTGTCTCATAAAAAAACCAAAAAATACAAATATGCTAAAGATCAGACACAGGCCAGACATGGGGTTACACTACTTTAATCCTGGCCTGGGAGGCAGAAGCAGGTGCATTTGTGAGTTTGAGGCCAATATTATCTACATAGAGAATTACAAGTCAGTTGAGGCTATACAATGAGATAGTATTTCAAAAACAAATTCAAGTGAAAACACCACACATAGAGACAGAGAGAGACAGAGAGGGGGGGAGAGAGGGGGAGAGAGAGAGATCCTGTCAGAGACTCATTGTGTATTGGCAGTTGCTGCCAAGCTGGATAACCTGAGTTTGATGTCTGGAACCCACACGGTGGAAAGAGGGAACTTTCATTAGTTGTCCTCTGAACTCCTTACATCCCATAGCATGTGCAGCCATACATGCTAGGACCTAAGTTCAGTTCCCAGTGCCAATGGGTTGGTGCCTCACAACTGTCTGTAACTCCAATGCTAGGTAATCGGATGCCCTGTTCTGGCCACCACAGACATTGCACACGTGTGGTACACACGTGCACACATAAATGAGGACGTAAAAATCTAGAGCACATCTCAAAGCAGTGTTTAGGTTCAGCCCCCCCCTCACTTCTGCTGCCTTCCAACTATGTGACTGTGGATGTGTCTGTCCTATAAGAAAGGTTGATATTGGTAATGGCGCTAGCCATTTAATAAACTCGCAAAAGGCTTGAAAACACTACTGGGGAAGGGGCAGAGCCCCACATATGGAAATCACAGGTGCAGGCTGATAGAGTACACATAAATCTAAAGAAAATGGAACATCACCTTGAAGTTGACAAAACTTGGCTGAAGGTTTCCAAACATTGCTGTTCTGAACATTCCAGTTCCACCTTCTGCCTGCAGGTGGCAGCATTTGTCATTAAAACTGTTCCTATTCAAGCCCTGCGTGGGGAAGAAAAACTATTTTTTCATTGGCTCCTGCTTATTCTTCGA